AAAAGTTGCTCTTTAAATAAATTTAGGTTAGTTGTAAACACGTTTTTTATTTGTTACCTTTCCATGCATACTTGGTTTGCTGTTTCCGTTTATGCAGAAAAAAAATAGGAAAATGGTCAGAAACATCGGTTTTTACAATGCCTTTTTTAAGCGTTGTATTAAAAATGTCATTGGTTAGAATGTTGTCAATTAAAGAGGACGAATGATTTGTTATTCTAGTAAGTTTATCAATAATGGGTATTGTTCCTGTTTGGAATAAATAATTATAAAAATTTGTTATATTTTGTTTTTTTATTATAATATTGTAATATTTTGTTTATTTATTCTAGTAGCAATTTTTATGTTTAGATTCATAGTTGTAATCAATTAAAATATTAATCAATGTTCTACATTATTACCCCAAAATCATGAATAAAATACCTTAATAATTCATGATAACTTTAAAAGGCTGATGGCAATGTCAAAACAGTAGGTATTGACCTGAAATTTGAATAATGGTTATACCTAATAAAGTCAAATGGGAAAATTACCAGGGAGCTCGTATTTTCAAAAAAAAAACTTTTTTCTGAACACCCTACAGTTCACTTTAGCCCAGTTTACCCTATATACTAGAGGTGTACCGAATTTTTTACATATCCGGCCGGATACAGGCAAATCGGATATATATTCGGATATGCCGGATATGTCTGATATATTGAATATTGTAAGGGAATAGAAGGGCGGGGTCTAGAGGTATTCCCCCTCCCTTAGAGATAAGCTGTTGCTGTAATCGATATTCTTAAATATCACTTATGTTTAAGTTTACCCTGTTAAGTTTTATCTGAACTTAAGGAGTTGTTTTAAAATGGCGTCTCTTTGTAAATGACATTTTTAAAATACACAAATTTCAATATGGGTGTAACTCAAGTAGCGTACACTACTTAAGTTAAGCATTAAAAACATTTTTATTTAAAATAATTTTATTTAAGATTTTGATTTTTTTGTTTTTTTTGTTTTTTTTATTTAGGTGTCCCAAGAAGTCCTAACGGTCAAGTTACAGAGCACCGCGGAAGTGCATTTAACCAGGAAGTTCACGCCTCCTTTCTTACTATGTCATAACAATTTTAAGAACATTTTTAATGCCGTTTTCTGCTAATTTCCACTTTCGGGTTGGTATCAGAAACTCTTTTCAACGATTTTGTATAACTGACATTCTCCTGCATTTTGACAAAAATAGAATGTCGCTTGTGTCGTGAGAAAAAGTTATACAGTTTTTGAATAATTCCGAAAAAAATTGGTTATTTCGGAACAACATTTTAAAACGGATTCAATAACTAGATTTAATTGATGTGCACTGCACTAAACATGGTTTTTGAAGCCTTTTCAAGGAATAACGTTTTTAGACCATTTAATTTGCCTCTGCAGTTAGTTGCGCAATTTAACTTTGTAAATAATCCGATTTATCTCGACTTTGATACTTGCTAAAACTGAAAAAATTCTCTCACTCATTTTAATTACTCTCTCAACTGGACGTGGACTAGCAGGTGTATTTTTTAAATAACGTAAGATGAGGCATTGGACTTCCATTTTAAATTTATCTTGGGTTCCATCACTAATAATCGAACACACCTTTTAATTCCTCACGTTTCACAATGAGTCCAAATGGCAAAAATGTGGCCAAAAGTCGATTTTCAACAGTATTTCAAAACAATAATTATTTTTTTAATTTAGGACATATATTTATGTATTAACAGGAAAATATCTTTTGCATAATTTTTATTACGTGTTTCATGAGTTTAACGAGTACCTTTTCGCGCCTAATAAACAAACTATATTTTTGAGAATAGTTAACGAAATTTTTATTTGTTTTCAAGTTCATTAATTTCTACATCATTATATAAGATTCTAACACTTTTTTTTAATTAATTATCTTATTCTATTTTCAATGCCAATTTAATCGAAAAAAATACTATAAATCGATTTTTTAGCTTTTGATTTTATGTTTTCGAAGAAGGGAATACAATTTTAAAGTATTAATTTACGCGGTCACAAAAAGTGACCGCGAAAAAAAGTGACAAAACTTAAAATGTCAATTTTTGTCCGCTACTTAATTTTTACCACATTATTATGAATGTATTGAGTACACGAATATAAAATTTCCAGCTGCTCCAACTTGCTTCATTTCGATTTAAGGTCGATTATTTCAGAAGGACGCTAGATAAAAAGGGGGGGGGGGGGGGAGGAGAATCTTATAAACAAAAACAAAACTAACTACAATAAAAAAAATTTTAGCATGGTTATAATATCTTGTGACTTACAAAAATTAAAAAAAAAATTGCGTTAACTGACGTAGGAACAGGGAGGGCGGAGGTGCTGCCTCAGCCCTTGATTTCCGCCCCCCCCCCCCAACTTTTTTGATCTTCCTACGCCACTATATATATATATATATATATATATATATATATATATATATATATATATATATATATATATATACACCGCACGGGTAAAACCACAGATGTCCACATTTTAAAAATTTCGAGTTTTATAAATTTTTATGATATTTTAGTACTAAGCAAAAAAACTATGTTTTAAGGTTCTATTGTCATTTAAAAAAAAGGGCAACTTTGAAATAACCACTGTTGTACAATGTTTACCGCATAAAAATACAGTTGTATAACTGTAATATATAAATATTAATTATAAATAACTTAGACAATTGTCCAAGTTATTTATAACTGAATGATGTAAACAATATCACAGAAAAACATTAAAAAAAAAACTTTTTAATTGTGAAGTAATTTGCTTAGATTTCAAAAAAAAAAAAAAAAAAAAAAAAAAAAATGCCTAAACGTTTGAAACCAATATGTATACTATTCAAGGCAACACCTGTTTTATTTTTTTAACACTAATATACTTTCATATCTGTTGGAAACAGATGGCTTGATGTTTTATGTTCTATGCTGCATGATTTTAAATTACACAATTGTCCCAAGTGTAAAGGATATCAAATTGATTTGTAATTTATGAG